AGAAGGAGGCCGACACCTGCCAGAGATTCTCAGGAACCAAACAAGGAGGAACCTCAGCAAGTGAAAGAGAGCACACCAACAAAGAAGAGCGAGGGGAATGCCACCTTTACAATAGTAGACCCAGTGCAGGATGAAGTTATTAAGGATGAACGGGCCAAAACTCCGGAAAAAAGAAAAAGGGGAAGACCAAAGAAGGACACTAAAGTAACTAAAAAACAAGCTGCCATGAAGAATACTGCATCTAGTAAAGTGGCTGATGAGGAGGAGGCCATTTATCAGATTGTTGACTCAGTTGAGGATGAGACGGCTGACAATGAGCCTTTGAAAGACCAGAATACAGAAGAGCCAACAGTGCCTAAAGACGATAAAGACTCAGCATCACCAAAAAATGCAGATGATGAGGAGGTGGTCGATAAAGAGGAGTGTTTGGATCACACTGCTGAGGTTAGTGATGCTCCATCTGCTGAAGACGAGTCTGGTACAGCAACGAAGGAAGAGAAGCCAAAAACAGATACTAAAGAGGCCACTGGGTCCCAAAGTGAGGCTGCTGCACCAGAAGAAAAGACAAATCTGGAGGAAGACACCCTGGAGCTGGTCACTCTGGATGAGGTGGGAGCAGATGATGCTGGGGAGGAAAGAGCAGTGGAGGGTCAGGACTGGAGCAGGGAGATCACCAAGGGAGAACCTGCAGAGCTCATCACTCTGGATGAGATTGTTGAAGAAGAAGAAGAGGAGGAGGGGGAAAAGGCAGAGGAAAGCACAGTGGAGCCCCGCCCACCAACACAGGAGAGCCAATCGGTGGAGGCCGCAGACATAGAGGTAATGTTGAGATTTATTTGAGCATCTTTGTTTCCTCTTTAGTAAAAACAGAAAACTCTATGGTCGTGATTTCGTGTCTTTATTTTTAGACTTTTGCGACAGCAGCTGAGGTAGAAGAGGAAGCAGAGAAGACATCAGGATCTGCTAAACGCAAACATGATGAAACAGGTCAGTTTCATTCTCCATCCATCCATTTTTTTAACTGCTTGTTCAAGTTCGGGTCGTGGGGGCAGTCGGAAGTTCAGACTTCCCTGATAGTCTCATTGCTGGATCTGCCCCGGGGCCTCCTCCCAATAGGACATCAAATGACCTTGAACAAGAAAGCCTGTTCTGCTGTTCAGTACTGAACAAATGTAAACCACAGCACCTAGGAGTTGCCCAGGACCTGAGCAGAGTTCGATTTGCACGATCAGATTTTGTGGAGGAGAAGCGAATGTGTACAGCATAGTTTTTGTTGGCAGGGCTCTAGAGTGCGTCACAAATGTGACCAAATTTTTCAATGGTGCGACTAAAATAAACCTTGGGTCACACCGGTGCGACCAGCTGTTCGAGTAACAAAAAAAGTCTGCAACTCTTAAAGTCTCCGTGTGGTCAACAACAGACACATGATGCCCACATTATGGTCCAGATAGTCCTTCGTGTACATTTGAAAGTGCAGGTGGATAGAGAGAGGTGAGTAGCTTGAATAAAGCGATATTGATTCATTAAATCCTGAATAGAGTTTTAAATATCTCAGGTCAAAGCTCACAAAACTATTTCAACAACCACCAAACAGCAAATGAGAGCAGAGAAACTGATTCCACACAAAGATGTAAACACACGTATCA